TAATAGATAACTTCTAGCTGTTACATCCATTTCTTTAAAAAAAAAGATTGATGGCACAGAAAAGAGCTTCCCCTGTAAAATTCCAAATTTGTGACATACGCACCTCTGTCAGATGACAGGTGGTTTGTTGGTTAACTATAAGTTATGTGTGATAACACTAACCTACATCGAGCTAGTTTCGTGTTATAACGTGAACGTTATAGCAGTAACTTTTAACTCTCGAGTTTCATTTAATTGTTACAGTTGGTAACGCACAATCATCCGTTTACTAAATTGTTGTTGAATATGTAACGGGGATTGCGCTAACTTATACTTAAAGTTACATCGTATAACGTTAAGTGCCACTTACTCGTTACAAGTTTGGCGTTCAACATTAACATTTAAATTAACGTTTAAGGCCCATTTTCAATAAGTTACGGACCCCTGCATTTTACTTCCCTTCAACGTCAGATGATTAAGAGAAATAATAGATCCTACCATTTCTCAATAACAAAGTTGTGAAGAACTGGTAAAATTATAACAAATGCAAATTGATGAATGTATGAAATCAGTACTTTGACATTTTAACTGTAAGAAGACGGCTCCAATTTTAGAATGCAGCAGTGCATCATTTTGAAAGATCTTTCACTTTAAAAACTTATCATAAAACCTCTTCTTCCCTTGTGCATGAAATTTTGAAATGCCACTTTGTGCGACTGATTATTATAATATAGGCAGCTGTATATAATGAAATAAATGAATGACAGCAAAGACCATTATCTCTCTGTGTTCCTACAATCACAATTTAAAATGGCGCAAATAAACTGCACATTGGTTCGATATAACAACTAAGCCTAAGGATATAAGGTGACAAGGAAAGTGTCACGAATGGGAAGAACCAGGACTTATTTCTTATCAGATGGAAAATTGTTTCCAATCAGATAAAAAATTGGCATATGAGATACCACAAAGAGACTAGTCACTTTCGACTTACATCAGGAATAGAAATTCAATTTCATACAGACATACAGTAACAAGCAACAGTTACTTTTCAGCTCACATGAAATTGAGCACAGTTATGTAAAGTACATACAGGTAGCTTACAAACTTTGTCTCCATTGGGAGAAATACAACTAGCAAATCACAAGTTAAGGGAAAGACATAATGTCCTACAACACCTTGCAATACATTAGCTTTACCAAATATTGGTAAAAATAAATAAAACATAGACATACTAATAAATTCACCATTTATGTTAGACACCTACTGGGAAACCCTACTGAAATAATAACGGAACACAGAACTGTAGATTCAAAAAATTTGGCAAATGAATGTCAAAAGCTAAATCCTGGTTTGGATTTCAACTTTAGACCTTAATATGTTTTGCTGATATTTGTAGTATGAGTCCAGTGTCCCATCAAGAAAATAAATAATATTGAATATTAGCTTTACACATAAACGTACTTACAGAAAGTAAGACCAACTAACCAACAGATCTGTATTTTTGTTTTAACTTTATTCAGTTCAATATTGGCCTGATATTTTATCTTGTAACTGAATAAAATTCAGTTCACATCCCACTAAAGGTTTGTGTTTTAAATTGGTTTATATTTAGAAACACTACAAATAGAGAGACTGAAATAGGATCATGCCTAGAGAAATATAGGTATTAACCAAACTCACACAAAATACGCTGCTAGCTGAGCCATCTTATCCTTAGGAGGGCGGGCCTTTGCTTTGCCTCTGCCCCTGCCGCCTCCACGTCCGCGGGGGGCTCGATTGCTCATTGGTCTCTGCACTGCACGATGCTTTTCAACCAAAGGTACAAAGAAGCTGGAGCAGAAGATGCAACCTGTAGCCTCTGTGGCTTCCTTGGGCAAACGACTTCTATCCTGAATTAACAATATTCACAAAAGTCAAAACCAATGTCAAGCAGAGCAGAGTATAGCAATCACAATTTTTCCAACAAGGGTACTATCCCTCACAGGAAGGCTGAGATACTTACCTCTCGGTACTCAACCTTGACATGCTGAGCACCACATTCACAGATACCTTCCTCCACAGTAACTTTGTGAGCTTCTTCAAATACATGAATGATAACATCACACCTAAAATGAAATAATAATAATAATTGCAATAGATATATTTTTAATGTAGTTAGCACTGCTGCTTAGTGCTAGGTAGCGCCTAGTCCTACAGTTGGAAGGACAACTAGGGGGCCAGATGAGAAAAATTTCAAAGAAAATACTCACTTATTACAGCCAAGCTTCCACTTTGGAGCAGATGATGGATCCAAGACCATGATACCTGACTCACACTCCACACAGCTTGAAACACCAAGACTATACATGCCTTGTGGGCATGATGGGTGAGTGCACTGATTACACCCATTACCTTTAAAAGAGAGAGGGGGTACAGATTTTGTAATAATGGCCAAGTTTGATTGGATTAGTTCTACAACATTCAGTATTAAAGAAGTATACCTTTTTTCATATCACGGAAAGGAGCATTATTAAAGCAGTAGGGGCAGAATGGGTAGGATCGTCCCTTTGAGCCGGCAGACCATGAGAGGAGTTCAAAATCATCTAGAGGGCAACGTAGCTCCTTGTAAATTCTTATGTTTCCATTTTGTGGCAAGTTAAGTGTTTCATCACAGTGAGCACAGTGAAGTCTGGATGGTTTTGTCTGAATGTATTTCATATACCGGCGGCATTTACCACACCTGGAGCAAGAAGAAATATATATGTACGCACAAAAACAAAACTATTTATCAACTTGTCCACTTTGACCACATTAACCGGTATGTGTGTTTATTAACAATAAACTCACCTAGAATGAGCCTTTCCAGTTGCTGCTATAGGGGAAAAGGAGACCTCAAAAAGATTGTCCATGCCTTCTATATTTTTCACAAAGTACTGGAATTTGAGTTTAAAAATTTCTGTAGTGTGATGAAGAACTGCATTGAAATCAGCACGACCTGCAGCAATTAAATTTAATTGCTCCTCTACAGCCGTTCTCATGGTCGGTAGGACTAAGTCAGGGTCAATCTGGTCAACAGAAAGTCATTGTGTAGGGTCATACACTCTCCATACCTGTAGATAGAAATGTATGAGAAACAAATGCATATCGTTTTACCTTTTGATATCCATGCACTAAAACTGTACCCAGCGTTGTTGGTATTAAGCGTCTTCCAGAACCTAAAGTTACATAGTTCCTTACACAAATGTTATTAATATGAACAGGTATTGAGGCATCTGTACCTATACCATGTTTTTCCATTAATGTAATCAGTTCAGACTCAGTTAAATGGTCTGGAGGAGACGTTTGACACTCTCCCAATCTGACCTGAAAGTATTATCAGGGGTTATAACTACACTCAGTACACAAAGTTTCTAGCCAATGTACATGCAATAAAATTCTTGCGAAATATATCAACGATATTTTGAATCTTACATCTTGAATTTCATACGTCAGACCCTCCGCGAAGTTTGGAACAGTTTCATTCTTCCCTAGTGCTTGCCAATGCATGACCACTGTGTATCCTGGATCAAGAAGAGTCTTTCCCGTGCAGGTAAAAGTTTCATTCCCAATTTGAAATGTTGCAGTAGTACTCAAGTATGTGCAGTCTTTTGATAGCTACAAATAAATTATGAAATTTGTGAGAAATGAATAACATTCAGTATTATATGGTCGTTGATTGAAAGAAGAAAATTGTGTTAAACTACACATACTGTAGCGATAAAGTGTCTGGTAATGTAGTCATAGAGGCGCCAAGCATCACCATCCAGCTCAGACTGACTTGCGGCACGCATGGGTGTTATAGGTGGATGGTCGCCTACATCAGTTCCCTTCCGGGGTTTATTAATTCCAGATGAAAGCAGTTCTTTGACTTCAGACCCCCATTCACTGCTATTCTGCTGCTGTCTTAAAGTCCCTCTGCAGAGATTAAAAGGTATTAAACATTAAATTGAATTGAAATTAATGTTAAATGTAAAATAGGAATTAAATATGACATGCACATACATCAGGTCAAAATTCTCTGGGTAATGGGTAGTTTCAGTTCTTGGATATGAGATGTATCCTTGAGTGTACAGACGTTCAGCAATCTGCATGGCATGATGAGGCCCCATACCAAGACCTGAACTTGCAACTCTCATTAATTCTACAGTGTTCAGAGCCTGAGGGCGTTGTTTGGCCTTTTCTTTTACAGATACCTTTGAGCATCTGTAATGTTTTAGAGAAAATCATTTCACAATGTTTCCTCCAATTGTCCAGTCTAAAAATTAAGAAAAGGAAAAGTAACAGTAAAATAAAACTTACACTGTTTCTTTAAACTCTTTCAATTGCACCAAAAACATTTGAGCAATTTCTCTCTCAAAACATCGAACTCTATCCCATTCAAGACTCACTTCTCTCCCTTCAGCCGTTTTAACAACCACCTGGTAAGACCCCAAAACCATTATAGATATAGATTTAAAACTTCAAAACAATACTACAAAAATGTAACAAAAGTAAATATTTACCTGGAGGACCCAGTAAGGTTCTGGTTTGAATGTCTGAATCTCATCATGTCTTTGGACACAGAAACCTAAAGTAGGTGTTTGGCAGGGCCCATATGAAATTAAGGATGCATCTAAATCCCCATACTTTCCCTGAAAAAATCTTGTCTGGAAGCGGGTGAAAGCACACCCAATCCTTAAGTCCAGCTCTTGTCGAGCATCAACAGAGCGAGCCTCATTTTCATTCGGTTTGCCAAGATTTGCCATAGCTTCTTTGATATCTTTATCAGTAATTGCAGAAAAGTGAGCCCTCCAAACAACCTGAAATTGGAAAAATTAGATATATAAAAAAAAGATTTTACAATTAAGTGTTGTATAGATAATTATTTGAGACATACATCAGGGACTGTGACACTTCTCCTTAAAAAGCCTTCAACAGCATTTATGACTTCAAAGCAGATATTCTCTCCTTCTTTATCACAATCAAGCCATAAAACCAGAAAATCACAACCTCGAGCCTCTTGAGAAAGTAATTGAGTCATGCGAAGTTTAGGAGTAGCCTCTTTCTTTTCAGCTGGACAAGTAAAGAGTTCAACCTGCAAAAAATAATAAAAGAAAACATTGCTAGAATACAGGTCATAACTTAGGTAACTCAAAATAAACTAAATTTCAATTGTATATTACAGGGTCAACACGATCCCAATTATTATACTTGCTGATAAAGTCAAGTGACATCACATGACCACACACTGAGGTCATCTTATAGAAGACAGATTCCCCTCTGAATGTTCCTTGCCATTCGTGAACAGAACAAGCTCCATTAATTGCTAAAATGAGAAAATTAATGAATTAGTGATAGAGGTATGAGATATCAAGATAGAAGAGAATCAAATCAACATTTGATACTTTTGAACATACATTGAGAAATACAATTAAAACTGTTTTTCTAGCGGGATAAAATAAGCTTATCTGTAGGGTTTCAAATCTAACCATACTAAACATTTTCGGCTTTTGAACGCATTGCATTGGAAGACGGATTCCTTTTCGATACAAACATTTCCAAGATAAAATTTGTGAGGTGTATAGTGTAAGACGTTCGAAGGCAGAAAACAACTTTTCCGCAAAAACACAGTAACCGGCTACAAAGCTAACCTACCTTTTCTGCTGGTGGAGTGTCCATTGCTTAGTATATGGGCTAAAGATGTTGCCAAAGATGGCTTTTCAGCCACCATGAGAACGCCACGCATGTTTGTATCTAAATTAGTCTCATAGATCTCAGAATGAAAATTAGAAATCAGCAGTTTTAATGAATATCTCAGCTAGCGGACGACACAGGTTGTCAAACAGGCAGCCATGATTGTTTCTGCGGCGTAGTGTCAAAGCGGTATTCGCACTGTGCCTGCAAACAGTAGTTTCATCACAATAGCGCTAGTATCGCCGTGCCCGGCATAATTTTGAAGTACTCCGCCAACCTGCTCTGCTGTCTCAAGGCGATATCAGTTAATTGGTAATGTGGCA